CCCTGGGGTCACCCTGGGGTCACCCTGGGGTCACCCTGGGGGTCCTGGGGTCACTCTGGGGGTGCTGGGGTCACCCTGGGGGTCCTGGGGTCACTCTGGGGGCCCTGGGATCACTCTGGGGTCACTCTGGGGGTGCTGGGATCACTCTGGGGTCACCCTGGGGCCACCCTGGGGTCACCCTGGGGGTCCTGGGGTGAGCTCTGGGGTCACCCTGGGGGTCCTGGGGTGAGCTCTGGGGGTCCCAGGGTCATTCAAAGTGTCCTGGAAAGATTCCTTGAGGGTTTGGAGGTGTCTCAGGGGGGTTTGGGGGTGTCTCAGGGGGGTTTGGGGGTGTCTCAGGGGGGTTTGGAGGTGTCTCAGGGGGGTTTGGGGGTCTCTAGGAGTCCTGGAGAGGTTCCTGGAGGTCCTTGAGAGCTTCTGGGGTTTTTTTTTTGAGTCATCTCAGAGGAATTTGGAGCTTCTGGAGGCAACTCCGGGGGCCTGGAGAGATCCCTGAGAGTCCCAGGAGGTGTCCGGGTGGAGTTTTGGGGCCCTGGAGGTGCCAGGAGGGGCTGGAGGATCAGGAGGGGTCTCTGGGGGGGTCTCTGGGGGTCTCCTGACCCCCGTGCCCCCTCCCCAGTATTACACCTTCGCCCGGCGCATGGCCCTGGCCAAGGCCTTCCCCGAGAGCTTCACCTACGAACCCCCCGAGGCTGCGGCTGTGAGTGACCAAATCCCCCAAAAACCCCAAAAACCCCCCAAAAAACCCCCAAAAAACCCCAAAAAACCCCAAAAACCCTCCCAAAAAAACCAAAACCCCCCCAAAAAACCCCAAACCCCCCCAAAAAACCCCCAAAAACCCTCCCAAAAAACCCAAAACCCCCCCAAAAAAACCCCAAAACCCCCCCAAAAAAACCCCAAAAAACCCAAAACCCCACAAAAAACCCCAAAACCCCCCAAAAAACCCCCAAAAAACCCAAAACCCCCCAAAAACCCTCCCAAAAAAACCAAAACCCCCCCCCAGAAACCCCCGGGAGGAGCCCCCCTCCCCCCACTCTTTTTGGGGCTCCGCTTCCCTTTTTCCTTCCCTATTTTTTCACCCTTTTTTTCCCTCTTTTTTCCCCCCCTTCTCCCTTCTTTTCCCTGTTTTTTTCCTGTTATTCCCCTTTTTTCTCTCTTTCCTCCCTTTTCCCCCTTTTTTCTCCCCTTTTCTTCTCTTTCCTCCCCCTTTTCCCCCTCTTTTCCTCCCTTTTTCCCCCTTTTTTCCCCCTTATTTCTTCCCCCTTTTTTT